GATCCTCATCCAGGGAATTTGTCATGTCAAAACGTACATAAGCAATAAGCAAACAGTCTTTGTTGCTGTCAGTTGCTTCATCAAATTGTAAGGCAAAACGTTTGTCTTTTGAGTTTATCAACCAGTTGGTCTTTAACTCATTGAATATCAGCCTTTTTCACTGGAGCAACCCCCCCAATCCCTCACATTTTACAGAATTTTGACTGATTTGCAAGGCCCACAGAATTTTCTGTTCTACGGGTCGGCTATATAAGCATGCAACCTGTCAGAAGAAAGGTGAGACTCTCTTCTTTCAGCAGAAAAGAAAACGTTTGTTTTTATCTCTCTCCGTTCGTTGGCAATCAGCATTAGAAAATTGCTAAGTTTTATGGGAAAGGCCGATTTTCTTCAGAATCCAGAGAAAATTACCTTTTTGTAAAAATAGGCATTTCAACCATCATTTCAAGTTTGACACTATTTTTTGCTTTTGTGACAACTCAAATACCTCAATAATGAGTTCCTCCTACAAAACATTACAAAAAAAGGTTTTTACATGTATAAATTACATTTATTTTTTTGTGTGTGATACACAATGAAACATTTTCCTTGATGCAAAGGCACACAAAATGGACTTATGCACCACTGCCACCTTCTGGCCATTTTTTTACTATTCAACATTGCAGTCAAGCTTGCTCCTTCAGTGAGAAGTTGCATCACTCTCTTCCACCCACCCCCATAAAAAAAACGTGATTGACGCCTTTAGACGTCATGAGGGGCGGGAACTATGCGTTAATTGACGCTTTTAGAGGTCAAAGGGTTTGAATGAGTTATGATCATCAGCAATGTCATTTATACATCTAGCAACAGTGTCATTGGACAGAGGGATAGTTTTTATTTTTGAAGCACTTGCGTCATCCAGCATGACAGAGACCATGTCTAATGCTGCAGGCAGTATCAGCTCCTCTGCTATGGTGTGGGTTTTTTTTGCACTAAGCAATTTGGTACGCCACCTGATAGGATGCCAACAACGCTCACTGGTTGACTGAAGTAGCAGTTACAAAGCGGGATGATTGTTGGCAGTATTCTGCAATTTCACTGAAAAAAATCAAGCGGCTTATCAACGTGATTGGGGTGGAGTGTCTTCAAGTGACGCCTTAATTTATTTGGCTTCAAGCTGTCCGCTGCCAACATTTTCAGACACAGTAAGCACACCGGTCTTTCCTCGTCTCCCACCGTCATCACTGTGAAGCCAAGCACGACGTACGTTTCGTCATACTTCCTCATCTTAGCTTTCGGGAGACTTTCGTTAGCCTCTTTATCTCCGTCTCTCTCCGCCTGTCTTCTCATCCCAATTAAATATTTTTTCATTGTGTCATTTGAGGGTCTGCTACACTTGGTGGCTGCACTTCCTACTCATACTCTGTGCTGTGTGCAAAGCACGCATGCTCATTGCAAACAAAACCCCTTCACCTCTGCGCACACTCTGCCAATTAGAGTGCCACTGCCCCCTAATGTAATGGAGGTACAATTGCACTTTATTCTACCCCCCCCCCAAAAAAAATAAAATAAAATAAAAAAATACAAAAGCATGTTCCCCGAGGTCAAACGCGCCCCCCTTGACGGAGCCTCGCGCCCCCCTGGGGGGTGTGCCCCACTATTTGAGAAGCACTGCTTTAAGGCAACAGCAGAAGTCACTGATTTGCAAGTAATGTATGTAATTTGTTGTGAGTTCATGCATTGTGTTGGTTTTGTTCTTTGAACAAGGTGATGTTCATGCACGGTTCATTTTGTGTACCAGTAAAAAAACATATCAATGTCTTGAATTTCTGGACTTCTCATAACTGACATAAGTGACCATCTACTGGTCTTTGCAGTCTTTCACAATTACTTAAAAAACTAAATCAATAACCCACATATCAGAAATAAGACCCAGAACCCAACATTCCATCGCAGCTTTCAAGCTTGACCTAGACAAGCAAAATTGGTCTGAGGTCTACACAAATAAAGATCCAAATACTGCGTTTGACGCATTTCAGTCATTTAACCATTTAGCCCACATTCTCTGCATGTAACCCCTCTGACTAGGGTTGCTTGAGTAGTAGCATTCCAACAGAGCCATGTTATCGCATCTCGCCCATCTCCGCTTTGTTCCAGTAGCCCATTTTTCATCAAGGTGCTCTGGTTCCCCAGCACCTGACGCAGACCTTGTTTGGCCGGGTGACGTCTGAGCCGGCATGTCATTCGTTTTATTGTCTCTAAGAACCAGCAAGAGAGACCATTTTCATGCATTATTGGAGCAAAATAAAAGCAACACTCAAGAAATATGGAAAATCTTAAATCAGGTAATTAGAAATAGCTCTAGTAAAATAGAATATCCGGAGTACTTTATGAAAGATAAAAATATTATGATTGAGGAAACTGCACAAATAGCAAAGGAATTTAATGAATATTTTGTTAATATCGGTAGCAACTTAGCAAAACAAATTCCTGATCCAATAAATTCTTTTGAAATAGATAAATACATAGAAAAAAATTCTTCCACAATGTTTCTTACTGCAGTGAATCAAAATGAAATATTAAATATTGTAAAAACATATAAAAGTAAAAAATCAACTGACTGTTTTAATATTGATATGACAATAGTAAAACAGATCATAGAAATTGTAGTGCGACCTTTTACATACATATGCAACTTGTCATTTCAAGCAGGTATTTTTCCATCAAAAATGAAAATAGCTAAAGTCATTCCAATTTTTAAAAGTGGAGAAAAAAAATTATTCACAAATTATAGACCAATATCACTGCTACCACAATTTTCAAAAATATTAGAAAAATTATTCTCTCACAGACTTGACAACTTTAT